TTTATTATTGTCACGTTCTTTGTTAAAATGCACTTGTTAATTTCACCCAGCAGGAATACAAAGCTCACTGTTTAGATTGTATTTTAATTCCGCATCAATAGCATAGTATATATTTCATTTCATTCCGGTGAGTGAATGTAACTGTTGAATTAAATTAAAACTTTTATTGTATTGATTTTTAATTCAGTTAAGTATCCAATCATGTTACATATTCAACTTGCTTTAACCCACGGCTTCGCTCGCGGGCATATCTAAAAATAATGAAGTTGCTTCCATTACGCGTCAGTAGTCACAGAAAAGTAACAATGAAGTATAGAATGGCGGGAAGTTGAAATGGCTGAAAGTATAGTCTATATGGAAGTATGAGTGTACAGTCCTCCGCCAATTTAGGTCAGTGGATTTGATGTTGACGTAGCTGTCGGTAATACAGTGTGATAATACAGTGTGATGGTACATAATTGCCTTAGGTTTGAGCTTCATTGCTGGAATGCTAGATGGCGTTAAAGTAGTCAAATAGCCAGATGCAGAGGTATTATTGACTAAACAATTTCTTAATTTTATATAAAAAATAATTTTTTTTATTAAATAAAACGTAGCCTATAACCATTCGGGGACCACTAAGAATATGTGTACAAATTTTCATGATGATCGGTTAAGTAGTTTTTGCGTGAAAGTGTAACAAACATCAGGACTTTTGCATTTATAATATTAGCGGGGATATTTCATTTTCATTCCAGAGAGTGAATGAAACTGTAGAATTAAATTAAAACTTTTTTATTGTATTGATTTTTAATACAGTTAGAGTATCCAATCATATTTTATATTCATTGTGTAACTATAAACTGTGCTCATAATTAAAATAGTTTTGGTTAATCAAAATTGGTATTTGGAATAGAAACACGTCTATTGTGTGAAATCAATCAAATTACTCGACAGTTAATTCAAATTAATGACAGGTTGCTACTTTTGTTTGTTTGCATACATGTTAAGGCAGGCGTGAAAGGCCGGAAAGCGGAAAAGCTTTCAGTTTAGGATTGCGAGCGTTCTGCGGTAGTGAGAGTGAAGTTGAATTTGAAATGTTTTGATTCGGTGCTAATCCAGCGTGAAGCATGTAAATTTTCAACAAATTAAACTTTTATCTTGGCGAGTATTTATTTTGATATACATGCAAAGTTTCAGGTTAAAGTGTACTTTAATTTCCTGCAGAAAAACCGAAAATTTATTTAAAACTTTCGCCGTAACACGCGATATTGTAATAATTTCAGCGCCTCCACCAGATTGAAGTTTTAATAAAAAACATAAATTTTAATTTGCGCAATATGTGTACATTATGCATGCACAAACGACCCCAAGATATCAAAATACCGCATGTTACAAACCAAAAAACAAAAATTTAAACAAAAAAATTAAATTATTTTCTAGTAAAGATTTAAAATTATTAAAAGAACATTAATTTATTATATAAATTTCCGAAGCTTTTGCTAGGAAATTAAAACTTCATAAAGAATAATTAAACGCACACTGAAACTAATTATTTTATTACACTTTGGCATGGGCATGTAGCCGCGCAGCGAAAGCAATTTCCGTAAACAAATTGCGCTCCTCGCTGCCTAACGGGCGCTCGACTTGAACAATCTCATGCGCTAAGGAGTACCGCCAGGAGCAGACGAGCAAAGCGAGCAGCAACCTCACACAGTTTCCGAATATACACGCGTGGAGAACACTTCTCCGGTGGGAAATGCCGCGAGGCCGCGACGCCTGCAAGGATGCTCGACTCTCGACGACATAACGGCCTTAACAACACAACATTCTGCGTATTATAAGCTCTTCATAGTCTTCAAGCCCTCGTGCGCAGCACTTAGAACATACACAAGTGAGAAACAATAAATTAGAACGATTTCTTTATTAAGAAATTGATTTATCAGCGCTGGATGCAACGGTGCAAAGTTAATAATGGTAATTTGTTAATTGCAAAGCCGCGAGCATGTGTTGGCATTTTCCGCCTTGCAATTAGAACATGTCATGGTCTCCTTCTTCATCTTCTTCAGCGTATATACTTCTTGGGAGAGTTTCCCAGACGTGCACTTGCGTTAAACCAAGAGTCAAAGTTGGAAGCGTTGAATGTCTTTGAGTATTCTTAGCTCTTAGCGTCTTTGATTCGCAAATTCCGACAACTTCCATCAAGTTGCAATACACACACAAATCTAATCCATCTAGGACTATTTCCAGACAAGGCACACATGTTTACTATTGATGTTTTGCTAATATACAAAGTGTTAAATAATTAAAATAAATTTAAATTTATTTGCTTTCTGATTACTCTGTATAACTTGTGAATCTCTTCGAAGTCTCAAACACTTGTCTCCTTAAGGACTAGACTATTGTACGTTCAAGTTGTTTAGTTGTTCACTAGCTGTTCTCACAATAGTTTGGCAATGCGGAGCAAAACAGCGTGAATCTTGCGCTTTGCAAAATCCCAGTGGTTTCTGGACCTGAACCTGGACCAGACTCATCATCAAAACTCTTGCTGCAAGTGATGAAATTCACTGAATGAACGCAAACAGTGTCGAGCGTACGGTAGCGCCCGCAAAGCACGAATGTGTCTGATTCGGTGCACACACACCGTTGGCGTGAATCGAGCCGCGAGTTGCGCGCTCGCGCAGGAATCTTTCGCGGGCCAGTCGCCAGTGTGCTTCGATAACAGTCGGCGTCAAGACGTGCATAAGCTTTCCGACCGCGGCGCGTCGTGCAGCGTGCGGGATCCTTTCCGAGAGGATAATTCGCGAGTTGCGAAGTTTTTTTCACTTCCGGCAACGAAAAAGTTTGCGATTCGTTAGTGCTTGTTTAAAATACTGAAACAAAACTATACGAGTTGATTAAGTTTCATCAGCGGGACGAACTGTCGTTAATTAAAACTTTTTTGTTAATTGTTTGTATAGCTTTTGTTTGTTTTGGCTAATTATTGTATAAACTACTTTAAAAAAATTTAATTTTTAATTTTTTTTTGCTAAAAATAAAGAAGTTCTATTGTAGTCTTTTTAGACATTTTCATGGGTCTTGTAGTTTTATCGTAAAACGGTCATAAAGTAACGCAAAGAAAAGCGCGCAGAGTTTTAAGAAAAATCATAAGAACATTTTTATCGCGCGTTTGAAGAACGCAAGTTTAAGTGGATGTTAAACAAGAAGAAGAGCTAAAATATTTTTCTATCATTTTTTAATACAAATAAAAATTCCACAAGAAAAAAATTCTATCTTGATCTTAATTGTGTTTTTTTTTTAACATTTCCTTGGTCACTTTAAAGTATGCACAACAAACTTCCATGTAATTTAATCATGATCCCAGCAGGCATGACATTATATACTAAGGTGTTTTGAAATGCAAACTTGACACTTGAAAAGTTTGTAAAGCACTTAAAATGCATGTAACAAGCGCAACTCTTTGATAACGACGATAATCCCAATAGTAACACAAGCATTCAAGAAACGATAACAGGACATGTAGGTATACTTCATTGTAAAACTGTCATAACGGTTGAATTTACATTTATACAAAGTGTAACACAAAATTTTTCCAATAAAAAAAAGCTTAAAACTTAGTTTATTAATAAAATACTCTGTATATATCCACAAAAATGTTAAATAACTATTTTGAAAAACACGCGTGCACATTGCACATCCGCGTCAACATTGTAGGTTCGTCGGCTGCTCTTGTTTAGAAAATTTGTTTATTCAAATGATAATTTTGGATGACTTTATGTATGCGCGTCGCCAGCGTATAAACACACTCGTGCCTGCATTGCAACATTACCACATCGTAGTTTTGTTGCAGCCGCCGTTTGTCCGGCTTTTTATTACATACCGGGATGCCGGCGGGCCTGGAAAACGCTAATGTTGGCATAATACTCTTCTGAACCGCCCACTGAACGCAGAAAACACCAGCCGCGAGATGCGCTAGCAGGAAATTCAAAACACAATGAGTACACATTCTTGATTTCATTAAAATGCACTTGTTAATTTCACCCAGCAGGAATACAAAGCTCACTGTTTAGATTGTATTTAATTCCGCATCAATATGTATAGTATATATTTCATTTTCATTCCGGTGAGTGAATGTAACTGTTGAATTAAATTAAAACTTTTTATTGTATTGATTTTTAATTCAGTTAAAGTATCCAATCATATTTTATATTCAACTTGCTTTAACCCACGGCTTCGCTCGCGAATATCTAAAATAATGAAGTTGCTTCCGTACGCGTCGGTAGTCACAGAAGAAGTAACAATGAAGTAGAATGGCGGGAAGTTTAAAATGGCTGAAAGTATAGTCTATGGAAGTATAGTGTACAGTCTCCATAGTGTAGTCAATTGGATTTGATGTTGACGTAGCTGTCGGTAATACAGTGTGATAATACAGTGTGATGGTACTATAGTACTTAGGTTTGAGCTTCATTGCTGGAATGCTAGATGGCGTTAAAGTAGTCAAATAGCCAGATGCAGAGGTATTATTGACTAAACAATTTCTTAATTTTATATAAAAAATAATTTTTTTTATTAAATAAAACGTAGCCTATAACCATTCGGGGACCACTAAGAATATGTGTACAAATTTTCATGATGATCGGTTAAGTAGTTTTTGCGTGAAAGTGTAACAAACATCAGGACTTTTGCATTTATAATATTAGCGGGGATATTTCATTTTCATTTTTGTTAATATTGAAATTGATAATACATTATCTTGATGTCTTGCTAAGCCTTGCTTGCTTAGTTTGTCGACGCACATTTATTAGGCAGCCACCGCCCAAAACCAAGAGTATGATTAATCGCAACGTGCGAAATGCGGAAACTCGGATAACACGAGACCCAGAAACAACTGAAGCAACAGTATGTACAATGTACATGCAAATTACGCCTTAGTCTAGTCCTATAAATAGAACCACTGAGCAATTACTCTGTCCCGTTGCCAAAAGTATACATTCAATTGACTTAGATTAATCACTCAATACTTTTATTATTAATAATTTATTTTGATATTAATGCTTCTTGATACTTTTCCTGACAGAGAGTCTATTGTTTAAATAAACTGCATTTAAAGCAGTTGCAATTACAGCGTCGATGTTTTCATTGGTTTTTGCTGAACATCTCACGTATTTACTGATTTTTAGATGTTCTTGCATTTTTATGATGAAGCTTTCGTTGATTATTGAGTCCAAATCATTTTTACAGCCTGAAATTTATTAAATTTTAATGTTTATCTTTAAAATTATTGTTTTTATTAATTAATTAATGAATTAATTACCAACTAGAATGCGTATTGCATTCCCGCAGTGTTCTTTGACTTCCGGCAGCCATTTGCTTTTCAAACTGTCTAATGTACCAATTGTAGCCAAATTAAAACAAAACAGTATTATATCAACCTAAAAAAACATTAAATTCTTTCATTAACCTTTCTTTCTGTTTTAATTCATTAATAATAATTTAATAATACCTCAGCGTATTGTAAAAATCTCAGTGATTTAAATTCTGGTAATGCTGAACAATCTCGAATGTGCAATTCGTGATACTTTGAATATTTAACATATTCATTGATACTAAAAACAAAACAGTTTAAATATTATCAATTTACTTTTAATTTTTTTATAAAATTACTTACACTGTGGGTGAATGGTTCATCAAAAACGTTTCTTTGACATATCGTTCAATTAGGGAGGTTTTCCCTACGGCTTCATCACCGATAACCAAAATTCGTACTTGTTTCATGGTTATTTCAGTGTTTTTGTTACATTTTACAATGAATCACAAAGAATACTGAGTAGATTTAGGTGTAAATCGTACAAACTGCACTAGATTTATAAGATAAGATAAGAGAGATAATTATTAGTAATTGAGAATGATTGTAATAATGATATAATTGATAAGAATGCGTGAAATGTTTGAAATTCAGTTTTGAAATGTGAAGGACATTACAGAGTTTTGTTTGGTAGAATAGTATGAGACTTGAGCGGCAGAGGGCGCTGCATGTATCAGCTGTGGATTTATTCGGTGAGTTTATTCCGTGGCGTGATGTCGTGTTTTATCTATCGTACAATCTATCAAAACAAAGATAACAGCGAAAACAAAACACAAAGAATTGAGAAACTCAACAAGTATAAACATGCAGTGTTTAGTTTTTAAGACGTAGTGTAGACGTGAGTAAGTCATTGCGTTTTAATTATTTCTTTTACAAAACTTAAAATTGCTAGTGTTTAAGCAAAAATATGACAATAGAATGGTGCGCGTGTGTGTGGTTCAAAGACAAATTAATGGGTTCAATTAGAGGCAGCTCATCACCATTAAATGTATGTATTTCAATTATGTTATGTTTATTTTTTCTGTGATTTCGTTTTACATTGCGGCCATATCGTATATTTACTGTTATTTCGTCTGAAATGTTTCATTCCTCTTGTGGTAAATGGTGTATAATTAGTTGCATATCACTATGAGTCTTATATGTCATGCAAAGTTTAAAAAATCACATCAAAAATGTTAAATAACAATGACTTTTAGCAATATATTTAAAAATAATTCTATATCTGTGGATTTATTTAAGAAATAATGCGATATTTTGTGATATTATCCTGTGAAACACTAAAAATGTTTAGTTGTCAAACAAAACAAGAGAAAATATCAATAATTAATCATTTAAAATTGAATTATTATTAATTATTGATAATAATACTTATTTTTCATCATTTTTTTCAATTTTTAACTTAAATTGAAACAAAAAAACACAAATTCGATAAATTCTCGTAAATAATTACTAAAAATAATTTTTAAAAGCAGAAAATTTAATATATTAACCACAATTTTTCACAAATCAATTTTTTTCTCTGATAATACGCCAGGATAATGATCGTCTGACCGAAAAGCGCATTTATTTCGTTCGCTCCCTCGACGTCTAGCTGTTTCTAAACGATAGACGTCTTCCTATGACTAGACTATTGCACGTCTGCTGTTTAGTTGTTCACTAGCTGTTCCTCACAATAGTTTGGCAATGCGGAGCAAACAGCGTGAATCTTGCGCTTTGGTAAAATCCCAGTGGCTTTGACCTGAACCTGGACCAGACTCCATCATCAAAAACTCTTGCTGCAAGTGATGAAATTCACTGAATGAACGCAAACGCGTTGTCGCCTCAACAGTGTCGAGCGTACGGTAGCGCCCGCAAAGCACGAATGTGTCTGATCTGGTGCACACAATACCGTTGGCGTGAATCGAGCCGCGATGCCAAAGGCCTCGCGCAGGAATCTTCGCGGGCCAGTCGCCAGTGTGCTTCGATAACAGTCGGCGTCAAGACGTGCATATAAGCTCTGACCGCGGCGCGTCGCAGCGTGTGCGGATCCTTCTGAGAGGATAATTCGCGAGTTGCGAAGTTTTTTTCACTTCCGGCAACGAAAAAGTTTGCGATTCGTTAGTGCTTGTTTAAAATACTGAAACAAAACTATACGAGTTGATTAAGTTTCATCAGCGGGACGAACTGTCGTTAATTAAAACTTTTTTACCCGGAGAAGAAAATAAAAATAAAAATAAAAATAAACTAATTGGGATTTGAAGATTGAATTTATTTTCTACAAATAATTGGTAAGTTTTTAAATTTAATTTTTTTTATTTTTAAAAATTTTTAATGAATAATATTTACGTCAATGAGATTTTAATGTCTTTTCATTATTAATATGAAACCTGGAGTGACATGTCGTCTGTTGAAATCGTGACGATGACAAATGTCCTTCGTTAACATAATAATGCACTTTTTACACACATCCCGGTTGTTCGCCAAGTTCGCTTTAAGTTTTTACGATTTTCGCTTTCCTCGCCGCTTGTCGCCGAGGCATTTTATAAATAACCTTTTTTAAAATGCAAATTTCCTATTTTATCGTCCGGCAAGCAGGCGTGCATTAAGTACACCAGTATTAGTTTCTCTAGAGAGTCCTTGCCATACGTTACAGACTACTATTGAATCTATTGCGCTCGGCGCGCCCGAAAGCCGAAAGAAGAAGAGTTGCAAAGAGTGTAAATTTAATTTCCTGCCTGCATTTATCAAAATGCGCAAAACCGACGCGCCGACACATCAAAGCGCAACGAGCCGTGCCACATGAGCTATTTATTACGTTTATTAGCTTTTGTTTTTCTTGCGCCGGATGTCACACAAAGCGAGAAAATGATAAACACTGAATTATCGATGAATATACCTAATAAAATACAATTTCGATAAATTGTGTCAATAAAATTGATATTTATTACGGAAATAATTCATTTTATTATTGACAAAACACAAATATCTCAAGGTGTTGAGAAATAGAAATATTTCTAGTGAAATAACCTTCTGTGTTATCTCAAATATTATCACACAAATTAGCATAACAAATTAACATTTGCTAGGTAAGCAATGACATAATAAAAGTTATGAATCATAACATTGTACGCACCTAACACGTCAGAATTTCAAGCGGTTGTTAAATGGTGCGACATATTTCAAAGCGAAAATTTCAAAAAATTTGCCTTTATAGTTGCGCGCCCGATCATAAGGAAATTGATAATGCTATAAACGGCAATGAATGGCCATTTCGATATTGCCGTCGGTGGCAATAGAGTGGCGTTCTCGCGTAATGTATGACGTCGTTATTTTGGCGCTCGCGAATCGTTAATTCAATTCGCACGGCCATCAAGCGTGATTTATTATTGAGTGGCCCCGGCGATGATGCGGCACGCTGCGACGGCGATCAGGTTCGAGGCCCCGAAAATTCAAACCCGAACGAGTTTATTGGGGAAAATCTCAGCGCGAAACAACGTCGCGCATGCAAACCATCGACGCCCAGCCGATGAATTTCAAGTTAATGCAAAAATAGACGCGTTGGGTAAAGAATTTTAAATATTTAGGGTCGCAAACAAGCTTCCCATGAAAGGTTCAATATTGAAAGTGTGACAAGATTAAAATCTGTCAATAGAAATTTTGAAATATCAACAGTTTTAATTTTGGTATTAAATTTTTACTTAAAAATTTAATTTTTTGCTTTTTAAAAGTTTAATATTTACGTATTTTCCGTTAGTGCACTAAATAATTTTCCCCGATGCAAAAGTGCAAGAGCCACAAACGAAAGCATTAAAACTTGCAAGTTTAAAGCGCAGCGAAAACGCTAATGAATATGAAATTCACGTACGTATAAATCAGAAGCCGGCAAAAAGCACGAAGTGCGCCTGATTGCCATACATTCATGAGTCCGGGCCGCGACGGGTCGGAAATATAAAAGCAAATTCGCTACGTGCGATATTGCCACAATAAAGGCGGAATCATTAAAGAAATTAATCGAAATAAAAAGGCCCGCCGGTTGCGCCTCGCCACGATACGGCGTATAATAAGCGTCCGCTTCTCCAATTTCGAATTTCGACTTTGCGACTTTTCGCCTCTGACCCGAAAGGTTTCGCATTACTTCAGAGGCACGGAAGGCCTCGTCGGCGGAAAGAGGTGGCGAGGAGGCCCTTTATGAGTAATTTCAACGTTTTCACAGTTTTCACATTTATCGCAACGCCGTTCGGTGTGGAGGCGCGCATAAACTCATTCATTTCACAGCTTTTGTGCTGCAGTTAGCCTGATAAAAGTTAGAACAGCGTAATATACATTTAATCGACGATCGTTGTGAGATTATCATCTTGCCGAGAGCTTTCGGGATATTACCAGTTGGAACCAATATTTTTTGAAATTTTTGCGCAAACGTAATTTTTTGCATTGTGAATTATTCATGTAGTACAAACATGCAATTATCCCATTTGAAATGTGGAAGTGAAAGATAACACCGCATAAATTTAAAATCCACACTTTGACATAATTTACACCGAGTGTATTTCACTGCATAAATAAAATTGAAAAAAAAAAGAACGCATTAATATAAAATTATTACGTATTAGCTTTAATCCGCGGCTTCGAACGCGAATATCTAAAATAATGAAGTTGCTTCCGTACGCGTCTGAAGTCACAGAAGAAGTAACAATGAAGTAGAATGGCGGGAAGTTTAAAATGGCTGAAAGAATAGTCTATGGAAGTATAGTGTACAGCCTCCATAGTGTAGTCAATTGGATTTGATGTTGACGTAGCTGTCGGTAATACAGTGTGATAATACAGTGTAATGGTACTATAGTACTTAGGTTTGAGCTTCATTGCTGGAATGCTAGATGGAGTTAAAGTAGTCAAATAGCCAGATGCAGAGGTATTATTGGCTAAACAATTTCTTTATTTTATTTCAAAAATAATTTTTTTTATTAAATAAAAAGTAGCCTATAACCATTCGGGGACCACTAAGAATATGTGTACAAATTTTCATGATGATCGGTTAAGTAGTTTTTGCGTGAAAGTGTAACAAACATCAGGACTTTCGCATTTATAATATTAGTAGGGATATATTTTTAAAATGTTTGTTTTTTATATGTGTGAAATTGAATTATGTGATACATTCCATATTCACATTGCAAACGAAAAAAAAACAGCATAGAACAAAAACCCAGGCACATTTGGATTCGGCAAAGCGCCGTGTGTAACAGAAAATTTTCCAGCATTACTGGAAAACGGACGACGGGCAGGCAGCCGGAACGAGCTGGAAACACGAGGCGTGCAGGAATACGAACGTTACGAGGGCTTTTCGATGCGAAAATAATGAGGCGACCAGATGGGCGCACAGAGGCGAAATGCACCGTATCGCAACGCCAGTCTACACCACATTTACTGCAATCCTGCAGTCCCACACCAACACGCAGATTTTAAAATTAAAATGACACCGCGGCAGACGTAATGCGCATACAATGAGCACGTCGCACGTCGAATGCAGCACCGTACGCAGATCAGGACGAGATAGAGTTGTGCCTTCCTGCTGCAATGCGATGGCAAGAAAAAATATGAAACGTAATCCACCGAAAGTAACACGGCTGGTATAACTAAAGATGAAATATGAAAAAATTTATGACAGAATATTTATTTATTTTTGTATTTTTAAACAGCCTGCATCCGAAAATATGAAATGCAGTTGAAAGTTAGATGATAAATCGTGTTTGAGCGCGTTTCAGTTAATGATGTGTCATGTTGACAACTATTTAGTTAAGTGACAAGTTAAATAGAGCAAATGTAGATGAAAATCGCTGACAAGCAACGTTTTACTACGCGTACAATGCTGCGCATGAGCGAATTCAAGATAAATGTGTCAGTTACCAGAAAACGTGCAATCTTCTTCATTCGCTTTGGCAGAGCAACGTTATTATTTTCTAGATTAACTTCCACAAATGCGAATAAATATTTCTTTTGATCTCGCAGCTTGGGTTATAATACTTTTGATTTTACGCGCTCATTAAAATTGTAGGTATGATGCCATAAAAGAAATAACAGGTTCATTAAAACGGCCGAATAATAAAAACATTTCCGCAAAAAAGGCTACCAAAAGCCATCAAAATACGCACCTACTGTGAATGGCCAGAGGAAAAATGTTTATTACCATTTAGCATAAACATAAACACGAAAATAAAGCAACTGCAGAATACAATACATCTATCAGCATCGGTTTCGGGTGTTTTGAAGAGACGAGTCTGAAATAATGAAATTCAACGCATAAAAAGCAAGGATAATAAAAATATCAAATAAAATCTAATTCACGCAAATACCACACAAGTCAACAGACCAATAAAAGCAGAAAAAGCATTAATATTAAACTATGAATTTATTGTTATAAAAATATTATAAAACGCATAGTATAGTAGTGCACTTGTTTGCCTGTCACGCAAGTTATGACGTCGAAATAGTGTGTGACAGATTTAATTTGCATTTTGAGCAGTTTGCTCGGTCGAAACATTCGACGGCGTGATTTGCATCCCTTATCTTCGTTTTCATGTTTCAAGTTTCCGCATGGTGTGTAAAATTCGATCTTTACGCACGGAAAGTGGGGAAAAACGTGTTTTTTGCTCTAGGGCGTAAAATATCACTTTTTAAATGAGTTTAAATTGATATTTCACTCTAGATTTATAAGTTTAAAAGTTATTACGATGTTTATATAATGTTTTGTTTATTTTTTTCTATTTTTATGCATAAAAAGTGACGAAAAACGTGTTTTCTGTTCTAGGGTGTAAAGTATCACTTTTTAAATGAGTTTAAATTAATATTTCTCTGTAGATTTTTATGTTTAAAAGTTATTACAACGTTTATATGAAATTTTGTTTATTTTTTTCTATTTTTATGCATAAAAAGTGAAAAAAAAAACGTGTTTTCTGCTCTAGAGCGCAAAAAACGACTTTATAAAAGTGTGCAACATATTTTAAAATAATATTTCACTTCACATTTTCAAATTAAATATCAGTCTCAACGTTTATATCAAGTTTTGTATTTTTTTCCTAATTTTTCGCAGAAAAAGTGAAGAAAAACGTTTTTTCTACCCTAGAGCTTAAAACATGACTTTTTAATTGTTTGTAAAATAGTATAAATTAATATTTCACTTGAAATTTTCAACTTTAAAATTAGTCACCTAGATGATATCAAGTTTTGTGTATTTCCGGACGGAATTTCGGTAGTTCACGTCCAATTATATCCCGCCTCGAGCTAACAATATTGT